TCATATTTATTAAAGGGCAATTGCTTTCGGTAAATGATTCTGAGCGTTTTTTGGATCATCACAATCAGTCCAATCCTTTTGTGATAGTTGGCCGCTACCAAATGTTTGACAGCAAATGTTTTTTTCGAAACGGTCACGCCAGTGGTCTTTGATATTGATATCAGATGAAAATGGGTGCGATTGGCAATCACAAGTCAATCGCCTTTACCATATGAAGCTAATAATTCCCACCTGTCAGTTTCTCTTTGTGATGTCTATTTATTTGCTGCGTGCGCTTTCTCTTTGTTTTTTTTTTCGATTTTATGTGTAACTCTTCTTTGTTACGAGCTAACCTGTTTAGATCATTCCGGGATCGATAAACGAACTACAAGATGCACTAGCTTTTTCGAAACACCGCTGTTACAACCGACATCTACGACTTACGGGTCCTTGTCATCTTCGGCATTATAGAAATGATTCACTACACCTTATTATTTATTCTTACTTTCTGTGCTTCTTTCATAACCTCAACCAAATCTCGAGTGGAGGATTACTATTGCTACACTAGCGGCGTGCTCCAGGTATTTTTTCGACTTTTCCAGAAGTTCTTAGTGTTTTTTAAATATACTACGTTTGCAAAGTATTCGAAGTATGTTACAAAGTGTTTTATGTATAAAAGCGGCCCAGGACGAAATTTAACACACCAGTCTCTAACTACAGTGTTTACATAGTACTTCGAAGTCGCTGTTGATTTCGCGACCTTTACATTTGTGTTCATATTTGATACACATTGTTCGGCACTATTCAACTATTACAACCGCAGAATCTCAAAATTTTTATTTTCGTCGAAACTTCGCCCATAGGGGTTATTCGATGCCCTGATCACGAAAATGACATTCATTTCTGGCGTTGGCGCCAGTGTGGTGCCAGTGTGGCGCCAGGGCTATTTTCACTAAATTCGCTCTAAACTTGTAAACAGGGTTATTTGGGGACCTGATCACGAATGCGACATTAGTTTCTAGCATTTCCACTATTCAACGCAGATTTCCCGTTTTCCTGGACCCCCTCACCATTACATATTACCTCAGACTACGCTTAGGAGGAGAGGGGACATCGCGAGCTAATCAGTGAGAGGGGGCAGAGGAGCCGAAAATAGGCAGCAAATGGCGGCGCCAAAATGAATGTTATATACGTAATTAGGACCCCAAATGACCTCTCTATACAAGTTTACAGCGAATTTGGTAGAAATAGCATTGGCGCCAATTGGCGCCAGATGGCGCAAACGCTAAAAATGAATGTCATTTTCGTGATCAGGGCATCGAATAACCCCTATGGGCGAAGTTTCGGCGAAAATT